CAACTAGCCGGACTTCTTTAATGATTGATGTGCTTATTTTTCTGTTTCTCAGCCACTTGTTTTGGACCAAGACTGTATGACTCTGTGCTCTCGGGACCTCAGACTAGAAAAGCGCACCCTGTTCAGGTACAGTACAAAAACAGTTCCACATTGGCGCATTCTGACTTTAAAAGCTTGGTTTACACTAACGCTGCTATTTCAGAATGGTAACTCTGTATTCCTTTAATCTAGACTGGACTTGGTTCCCATCAACCGATCAGTGGGTCTGAAAGCGAAGCCTACGAAGCCGGTGACTGAAGTCCTGAGACCTGTTGTGGCCAAATATGGCCTGCACCTTTCTGACTTGGTGGCACGCATTGTAAGTCACTCCTCAGACTGCAGAAATGCATGTAGGTAATGATATCAAACTCTTATTGAATTTGTGTCTGTGTGATGCAGAGTGGAGAGTCTGAGCCTTTAGATTTAGGTCTTCCTATTTCCAACCTGGACGGCCTTCGAGTGGTATTAGATGTAGCAGAACATTCTCCTGGAAAAGGTGAGGAACACACACACATACACACACACGCTCTCCTGTCAATACCAAATGTGAAAGCTATCTCATTTCTTATTCCTTTTGCATGTGTATCTGTACGCCGGTGTTGTTCAGCAGACAAACAGAAAGTAGCTCCCTCTAAGAGTCACCTCCCGGCCTCTACAAGCAGAAACCAATCAACAACAGTAAGATCTCCTACAGCTTCTTATTTCCAATTTCTTGCTCTGGAATGTTCCATAACCCACCGAATGTCTCCACTGCCTGGTTGATGATATCACGCTACTAAGTGTCTCCGTTGCTGTCTTCAATCACCCATGTCTGTTTGCAATGTGGTCCAAATGTGCAGGTGTATTATGTGGCTGTGTCTGTGTCTATGTGGACTGTTGCTGTGGGGCAGATAGCCTCGTCGCACTGTCAGGGTTCCTAATGTTCCATTACTGTGGTCTGCCTGTGGCCGAATGCATCATCAACTTTTCTCTCTGGTTTCTGGTTCTCTTTTTTTCCATAACAAACCCACCCGCTGGGCAATGTGAGCTCGTGTTCATAGAGCTTTTGCCGGGTATCGGAACCTCAAAAACTCTCTCTGGGCACTTGAAGGGTTGTAGTTCGTGGTGGCAGTAGAACTTTAACTTGCTGTCTGGGTTTCTTCAAGCTAGTGGGGTTTGATGACCAGCTGAAGTGGTCATTCATCGCCTTCCTTATTGATTCTTCAATCTTTAGTAGTGCAGCTTTGAGTAGTTTATAGTTGGTCCCTCTTGTGTTGTGGTGTAAGCTACTGTTAGCCTACACGTTGATGATGCTTAGTGCACACAATGGACATTATGGCTGTCTGAATGGAACATCTCAGCTGTCTTTGATCAACTGCATATGTCTGAAGTTTTTCCAGTACCTGTCATTGATTCTTTATCGCGAAACAGCCGATGATTTGATCCCATTTAATTGTTTTTCAAAACAGCCCAAATCAGTGAAACTCATGTCAATCACTGCCCATTAGATTGTTTTTACAAGGAAGCAGGACTCTAAAAATATTAAGCAAAAAAAAAGATTTTTAACACAAATTCAAGGGTAGCTCGTTGTAAAGCGCTGCACTACTTGCAGTTCTTCTGCTACTTTTAGATCTCTCCCTAGAAGTTCCCTTCTGACCCCTTGCAAGTGCCTGCTGACAGTATCACCATGGAGCTCGGACAAAAATGGAAATCAAAACTCAACTTCTGTGTCAAACAACCATGTCAGGTAATGCCAGACTCTGGCTTCGACCCACAGACCATCGAGTATTTTCCAGACCCGCAGTAACCCTGAAGAATTCGGTCAGAAGCAGCATGCTCCTCATTGTGTCACATCCAGTAGTTTATGGTGTATAAATTGTGTCCCCCAGGGTCAGGCCATCCATGCTCTACTGCAATATATGGAGAACTTTGGATGGAAAAACCTAAAATCTGGTGCCTGGCAGCTTTGTTCTCTATTCAAGACAAACGTGTCAAATGCTGACAAAATCCAGTGCACGTTGCAGAGAGCCAGATGCGAGTACTCAGAAGGGGAATTTTTAGGAGGGATCTACCAGAAGTGCTGGAAGTGTTGCAGCACTTTACACAGAGACAACTCGGATCTTTCCTCATATAGCCAGAGTTTTGAAACCTTGTCACCCTCCTCACCATCAGTAGTACTGGTCCCCACTTGTTGTCATTACTGTTTCCCATACTTCCACAATGATTCATCAGGGCTCTAATGCCCTGCTCCGCTCTCCTTGTGGCTCCCAGGGGGAGGACAGGCCTTCAGGGAAAGCCGGTTCAGCCCATCCCCAAGGGGAAAACGGCAGGGCTGGGCCCAGCCTTGACACAAGCAGCCAGCCCTTGCCCAACCACTCTCTCTCTCTCCATAAGGCTCCGGAGAAAAGAAAGCAGAAAAAGATTAATATAGACGAAGCTGAAGGTAAAGACTGAACAACCTCCCTCTATCTCTCTCCTTTGTTTCTGTAGCTGTGTGGCTGTGATTACATTAACCCTTTTGCCT